CCTACTGCTGYACCCAAAATACATGAGAAAATTCAGCTCCAAACATGGCACATGCACCACATGAATCAYGAGTCTGGGAGCTGGAATAACTGATGGAGAAACAAGGGGGCCACAGGAAGAGGAAAGCAGCTGCAGCAAGGTGTGCAAACTCAAACCCTGAGTTTACTGCTCAGGTCCTCTTCAGTCAGTTTGTCTGTGTGACCTAAACCCCCTCGGTACACCTCAGAGAGAGCAGATGAAGCAGAAGCAGGTTACCTCCTGGCTTGAATCTTATCAGGTTTCCTTTCCTTCCAACAGACATTTTAAATTTGCCACCACTTCTCTGAAGATCCCAAAATATGAAGCAAATCACCCTGGTTTTGGCTGATGTCTCACACTGAGGCAGAGGAAAGCACTTATCAGTGTTGGCATGGCTCCCTCAGTTTGCTCCGTTAACACAGGATCAGGTACTTTCAGCCTATGGTTTGGGGAAGAAAACAGGAGTCAAAATGGCAAACAGCCTACATTTTACCTGCACCTCAGCTTACAGAGTCAGGTACTGCAGTTTAACACACACAAAAAAAATCAATCTGAGGGCAGAACCTCTCACTCTTCATAGTTAGCATTTCCCAATGCACAGCGTAGGCTGACAATTATTTTCTGGTCTCTGAAGCCTGTGGTTTGAAAACTGACATCTCTGTGCTCAAATTCCCTTTCCACTCTAAATACCATTTAATGTCAGTGTAACTGGAAGAGTCAAAAATCAGCTYTCATTTGGCAGAGGCCCCTTCCAGAGCCAAAGACACAGTCCCTGCTGAGGCTCAGGAGAGCTTCCAACTTCTAGGTGGTTGTTCACAAACCCGGGGCTTGCTCGAGAACAGCTTCAACAGAAACACTAAACACCAAAATGCTTTTGAGAATACAGWTTGTACTGATGATAAGAGAAATAAATCAAAGTACTAAAAGGCTGGTAAGAAAAGAGGGTTTAGTTCAGTGCTGGAGCTCTGACATGAAAAAGATAAAAACTCATTTCACACGTCTTCATGATGCATTTATTTATGCCACTGCACGTCCTCTTTACCTTACACCAACTTGCAAAATGAACAAAAATTACCTTCTCTCTGCTTAACGAGGAGAAGAGCTGATGCTCCATATCAAGAATCTTAGGGACATCTGGATAAATCTACGATTCTGCTAAACACTTAAACTGAAGCAAGATCCTTCTAAAAAGTGTTGATCCATTAATAGGCTTTGCAATGCTCACACTTTCTCTTCCCTTCTGGGAGGGTGCAGGAGGTGGGGAGTACTGCTAATTCCACTATCAAATCCCAATTTAAGTATCTTTGAGGTCAAGGTTATTATTTCATGTCTTAAAAAATACAATGTGTCTGCAAAAAAGAAGTGAGAGAACTATAGGGATGGAGGGAGGAYGGTGACACCATCAAAGCACCAAAGTTGAATGCAATCAGCACTGTCTGTGTACTCGGGAAGTACCTGGGAGCAGACCACGGCACAGAGCGAGGACCAAATACTAGATATCAATGGAAATCGTGTTGGTGATATTCTCCTCCTGCTAGGGCAGTCTTAATTTCTGTAACAATCACAGTACAGATGGATTTTCTTCRGAGGCAGCATGGTTAATTAAGGCCTGCATGTACCATAGTACCCTTGGGAATGGCACTGGACAAAGGCTGTAAAAGTTACTGCTCAGTCTACACCTCTGGGAAGGTGCTTCCCTTTCTTAATGAGTATTCCCATTAAGTTTAAAATAGAAATAGATGTCTGTGCAAAAGCTCAAGTGCAGAGGAACCATTAAAAACTGATATGCTTTATGACAGCAATTAATCTAGGCATTAGTTTGACTTTGAAGACAAAGCACATTTCTGATGCGAGTGATTAGGCATGAACATTTTGGGGGTTTTCCTACAAGGTCTCCCCTTGCCATAAACAGGAACAGACCTGAGTTAGCCTAATGCCACCAAAACCTGAAACTCAGAGGAGACCCCCTCAAGAACCAGACACCAAGGCTGTCTTGCCTCATCCAGAAACTGGAAAAAAGAGATGAAATGACCCTGTGAGCCATGGCAGCACCTAAAGTGGCATTTTCCTGCTCTGGAGCTAGTGGTTCATAAAATACCATTCACAGAGGGGACATCGGGAATCAAGCTCCATGGAGAAGGCAGGAATACAGATTTTTTAACATTTTTATTACACAGTAAAGAATACAACAATACCTGAATCATACTTTAAAAGATTCACAGGTTGACAGACCATACATTACAGTCCAACTAAAGAAAAAAAGGATAAACAAGAAACCACAGTTCAGACATAGTAGACTTAAAAGCTCAAGAGTATGCTGACAAAAGCACAATGCCTAGACCCCACCCCCCCTCAGTGTTAGTCTACCATTAACTTGTGGTACATGTCTGAAATTCAGTATTGCACAACAACTTTTCTT